AGGAGAAGATTGATGGAGTTTATAACCTTCATTTTCATGTTTGAGAGTTTATATAATTAGATGAGATAGTTTTGCAGGCTTTTGTGACCCTCTAAACTCTCTCTCCTCCCTTAGCTTACCCTCCAACAACATACCCCCAAATCCCCTTCACTCCAAACTCCCAAAATACCTTAAATCTCTAGTTTAGCCCTTGACTCCCTCCCTTACCAGTGCGCTACCCTCTGAAGGGACAACAATTAGTCGCCTTAATGAACAAGTAGGGTGTCTCTTCAGTCTTCTTTAACCAAAAGGGAATTAAAAAGAGTGATTCTGAGAAGAAAAAGACAAAGAACAATTGAATAGGAAAGCAAATGCTTCCAAAAACAATTGGACCATAATATTTTGCTGGTAGGGCCCTAGAAAGATAGCTTAAGACTTATGGTAGAAGAATGTATGGCATACACTGTGGCCTTAATTTATACAGTTGGGATGGTATTTCAACAGTAATGTAGATTACGCTTTTGAGTTTCTTTAAGTTTTATTTTGTTGAAAATTTGACAAAAGTTTTTATAATTCAGATTGTATTTGAATATATGTACAAAACCTAAGGAAGTGTGTTAAAATTTCAAGATTACCTTTGCTTCTTACCATCCCCAAGAAAGATATAATGTAGATTAAACTAAAAACGGTAAAAAGGGAAAATGAGACCTTTAATTTAGAACATCAAAATGAAAATGAGATTGTTATTGATGACAACTACGGTACCCATTTGAAAAATGAGGTATGCAAAATAGGATTACTATGTTTTTCTTCCCAAAATAGAAGTTATTCCGATGTGGGACATTTAATACCAATGAATCCGGTTTTGAAAATAGTCTCCACGCTTGTTTGGCCAACATCAAAATATTAAATTACGGAAGGATCTCCCTCCCCATCCACGAAAGAAACCTATTTTTGTATTCGCATGAAAACTCATTTACCTAAGATAATCCAAAATCGCCTAACGCTTCAAATGGAGCACTACATTTTTAAAGCTACCCTCTTTAATCATATCCTCCACCGACATTTATTTTAAGATGTATCTCAACTTCACTGCTTACCATCCTTTTGATGGTAAAATACATCCTAGAGCATGCTATAGCAGGCATTTTTTGCAGTTAAATCCAACTTATAGGGTAAAGGTTAGGTTGATCCGTTGATATCATTTTGCCGTTTTTCGTTGATGGCTGCTAGCTAGGCCTATCAATGGGTCGGTTCTAGACTCGGACCAGACCCAGACCAGGTTCTTTTTAATGGGCACGTGTCTATATTTTATTCCGTTTATCCGGACCCGTTTGTATTTTAAATAAACGGGTCGTGTATGGTACATATGATTCCGACCCGTTAAGGACCTGAACTCGTTTAAAATTTCTTATTTGTATACATAGACACTAATACATAAAGTGATTAGTTATAACACTTCAAATAAAATAGAAGCTAATATACATATATACATAATAATAAATAAAGTTATTAGTTGTGATTCTTCAATAAAAATATACACATTAATACATAATGCCCGTTTTGACAGTAAATACATACTGATAAAGTGTACATTGGGCTCGATAGGAAAAACACAATATTTATTACTATTATTGTTAATATTATTATATCATTGTCATATACTCCCCTGTCCCGAAAAGGTTGGCCAAATTTGCTTTTTGGATGTCCCAAAAAGATTTGTCATTTCCATTTAAAGTAAGGAATATGTGGCTAACATTAATTCTCCTCCCTTTGCATAAATTTCAACCACACGATTTTTACTTTATTAATCCACGTGAAAGTCATCTTTGGTCAACCTTTTCGGGACGGATGGAGTATAATGCTACATATGATTTTAAACTCTTAGTAATCCAAGAGACCTTTTTATGACTTAATTTCTAGTTTATTCTACGAGTTTTTTGTGCGAGAGAAAGTGACGTGCCTATACAAGAACCGATACTTTATTAGATAAAAGTACTAATTTTCTATGAGAGACCTTGATTTTTTTAAAAAAGTGGAGATATATTTTGCTTTTAAATTTGCACACTTTGCTTTTATTTCACATACATGTCTTGTTATTTTCACAAAGTATATAATGGTGTGTGTATCATACTTGGCAGGCGGGTCTACCCGACCTGATTCCGAGACCCGTTGGGTCCGGGTCCGAATCCAAATTTTTCAGACCCATCGGATAAACGGGTCGAGTCCGGGGTCCATTATTAACTTAGCAGGTCCGGATCTGGAACACTACATTCTGACCCGGACCCGACCCATTGACAGGCCTACTGCTGGCCTGCTAAGGCTTGACTCCTTTTTCTTGTTTTTTTTTGTTCTCTTTTCTTTCGTTGCTTTTCAAATTCTTGCTTTTAGTTGTTTTTCGTTGATCTGTCTTTTCTTTATTTTTTTCTTTAACATGCTTTACTTTTTATATAATTATTATGCAAATTTATGATCTAAAATATTGTTAATGTTTGAGGTTGTTTTTTCTTCTTTTTCCAATCAACCTTCTAATTTGAGTTTTTAAGGGAAATTCCCAAAATAGGAGCAAATGACACTTGAAATTCCAAAAATGGGACTAATATGTTTTTCTTCCCGAAATAGGAGTTATTATTGTCATGTATGAAAAATACTGTCATGATTGAAAAATACTGTCATTAATTATAATAAATATTGTCATGTTAAATGCACTGTACTGCAACTATTTGGCAGTCACGGCTACAAGATGACAGTGAAAACTGTCATGTTAGTCCCATTTCGGGAATAAAAACAAAGTAGTCCTATTTTGGAATTCCAAACTTCATTTACTCCTATTTTGGGAAATCTCCTTTTTTTTTAATTTCTGCGTTATATGTATGCTCATTTGGTATTGATGTTATGTTCATATTAAAATGTTATACCAATGCATATTTCAAAAGTAGCATATTACATTAGATTCAAGTAGGATTTAGTTACAGATACGAGAGCACCGACCATGATATTCAATTGCATGTTTTTGATACTCAATAGAGAAGATTTGATTCTCAATGGACTTTGCCAAGTGCAAAGTAGATGAGAAATAAGAATAGTAAAAACTGTGTGGTTGAGATTTGTGCAGAGGAGAGAAATGTGCAGAACCACAAACTAGTTGTTTTAATAGAAAAGTGGCAAAGTTTTTTGGGACAACCAAAAAAGAAAAGTTGGCAAAATCCAATGGGACGGAGGGAGTATGATTTTCCTACTAATGCTCATTTTATAATCTATGAATGCTCAATCCATACTCAATTGCACGTTTTTAATACTCAGTAGAGAAGGTTTAATACTCAATGAAAAATGTCTTGATGCTCAATTATTTTCATATGCTCAATCGATACTGATGTTATGCTCATTTTTAAAATGACATATCAATGCATATTTCAAAAGTATCATATTACATTAGATTCACATATTGAACTTCACAGGGATTGATTGTAGATATAATTTAATATGTTTCTATAAAAGAAAAATATAAAAAGAAAGTGAATTAGAAGATATGAAGTAGAGATTCTGATGTTCAATAGTAGACTCTTAATACTCAACAAATGAATTAAAAGTTCATCAATGCTCATTTAACAGAAAGTATTATTTTCATCTCAATATAGAAGGTTTGATGCTCAATGAAAATATTGTGACGTCCAACTAACAACCCTTATGATTTTCATACTTATGCACATTTTGAAAGTTGTGTATGCTCATTTGATACTGATATTATGCTCATTTTTAAAATGGGGAAAGTTCCCGAAATAGGACTAAAACAGTTTCAAAATTCCAAAATATGACTGTCATGTTTTTTATTCCCAAAATAGAACTAATTACTGCCATGTTTAAAAAATACTGACATGTTTAAAGTCTAGTAATGCCAAAACATGACAATAAGTAGTCCTATTTTGGGAATAAAACATGACAATCCTATTTTCAAATTTTAAAACTGTTTTAGTCCTATTTCGAGTAATATCTCTTTTTAAAATGACATATCAATTCATATTTTAGAAATATCACATTACATTAAATTCGCATATTGAAGTTTACAGAAATTCATTATAGATATAATTTAACACGTTTTTATTAAAAAAAAAGAAAAAGTGAATTACGAAAATGTCACTATTTTTTTGTTGCGGTATCAGCTTTCTTGTAATGACACAGTGCTGATTAAAATTAGACTATTGCTCATTAACAGCAGACTAATGCTCATTTAGCAAAAACCGCAATTTTCACATTAATTACAAAAATGCCACCGAATTATTTTGCCATTTTTTCCTTGGACCTATTACGTATGAACTTATTATGGGCTTGTTTAGTAACTTTAGTTGCCTATTAGTTTGTTCCTTGTTGGGCCGGTCATACGATGCTCACCGCTGAATGTTTGATATACTAATCCCCTTTTGATAATAGTGAAATTGATATAATTCTTACAAAGGCAATTGAATTTCCTGAACTGTGAAAAAATTACATTAATACATATTTTCTTATATGAAAAATTAACTAAAACAGTCATTTACAGTAACTTCAACCAAATGGGTAAAAAAAGTAACTTCAATTTTACTTAATTTTACTTAATTTGATTATGACACAATTCGACGCACGAAATCAATAATTACGTGTTTTGTATATAAAAAAAATGATGGGCAAAGCTAATAAGCTGGAAAAATGAATTACCAAACGGTTTTATTTCTATTTATCAGGAGTATATCTTGAAACAGAACGAGCAGTTAGAGTGCATAATAAGACAATAAACCCATGAGTCATGGATGACAGCTGGAGTATCTTTTACTAGGATGGTGAAATGTCGGATGTGGACTTGGACCACTAATCCAGCATAGACTACATTTACTACTTCAAGTTCCTCACCACCAAACATAGACACATCTACTGGTCAATGTTATAAATAGCTGTAAATTCCTAAAACCCAAACCCAGAAAGCAATAGACATGCAGACACCAACTAATGTTTTACCCTGTCCCTAAAGAATATTCCATGTACAGTACTGGTTTAACATTTAAAAATGGTCCCTATATTGAGACAGGACACATACAGAGATTTTTATTGTCAATAATGTAATAGGGGAAAAAAGAGTAGTTCTGTTTTCCAGTCAGTTCCAGTTCTGGTCACACGCTATTTACAAAAGATATACGGAGTATATAACTAGAACCACCCTGGCCTATTCGGATGAAGCCGAGCCAGAATGGATTTGCTTTCAATCCAGATCCAGTTCCAGTCCAAAGCCCAAGAAATATGCAGCAGACAAATTCACCTGTCTGGGTTTGAAACCGAGTTCACCTCTACCTCAAAGACAAGGATTTTATCCTCGCATACATTCACTTATTTATGCACATACAGCATAAAGTTGATGCATGAGAAATATATGTAGAATAAAAAGCGATGTCTTGTTTCTAACAAGGACAAAAAGCCCAGTATATACACAGTGGCAATCATACAAATCATCATTTCCATCCTCTTGAAAATCATATTATGGAATATCAATTAATTATGTAAAACAAATCAGCACAATATAGTGGGAAAGTTGTGTCACAAACAAACTGATAAAGTTTTAAGTCGTGAACACCCAAAACTACAACAGATTTTTTTGTAGCCTTCTTCTAATGTGCCAGCGGAAGCATAAGATTGGGATTATGTTTTTAAAGGGAGTCCAACCTATGGTACACCGTTCTTTTAAATATATTTCGTAACTAAATATACTTCAACAGTTTGAAGTCACTAACTATCTTCACACTAGTTGATTAGCTCACACGTGTTTTGCACAATTGCACATGAAAAAGAAATGCAAGACAGATAAATGCAATAATAGGGAAGGTAGAGTAGTAGACTTCCCCTTATTAGTTTCATACATAGCAACCAGGCTAGCTGAAATAAAGCAATAGTAGACTCCCATGTCAACATGGCGCTCTTATTCCATTATGAATTATGAGCTAGAGTTGTGTTGATGATAACAGACAAGTATCGTCATTCAGTTAAAAAATACTGCGCATCAAATATTGAACCTGACCAGTTACCATTAATATTTAGAGCTCTTGTGCTCTAAGCACTCTTGAGTTAGGACACAGGCCAATCCTTTATAAATCAATCAAATTAGAGAAAATTCCTTAAATAGGACTGAAACATGTATAAAGTTCATAAATAGGACTGAAACATGTTTAAAGCCAATCCTTTAAGAGGACTATCAATCTTTTATTCCAAAAATAGGACTCATTCACCCCTATTTTGGCAAGTTTTAATCAAGTTATTCTTTTAATAGGACTAAATATAAAAGATGCTTAGCCTTATTTTTGAACTTTGTGTATGTTTTGGTCCTATAATGAGCAATTACTGATGAAAAATTATACTCAACTATCCCAGTGTCAATATAAAGATTCTCTATAATGCCTTGTCAAATAAACCTTCCAAACTCCATATTAGAAGTTAGGGATGGGAATGGGTAGTGTTATATGGTACCCCAGAACCCCTGCTCTAATGGATCCCATTTAAACAGATGGGATGAGATTTGGAAGGATATTTTATTTATTTGTTGTATTTTATTGGGCAGCCGGTGCACATTGGCATCCCCGCAAGGTGAGGGTCCTAGAAGGGTCCCACACTCCCACCACAAAGGAATATGAGATCTGGAAGGTATGCGGATTTAATTTATTGCCCGATAGGATTTAGAATTAGCATTGTGCATAATTTCCAAAACACGGTATAAATTACATTAACTACTCTAAATTAAAGTTATACTACCTCCGTCCCTTAAAACTTTGCCAAAGTTGACCAACACGGAAAATAATAAAGTAAAAACTGTGTGGTTGAGGTTTGTGCAGAGGAGAGAGAAATAACAAAAACCACAAAATAATTGATTAAAGGGGAAAGTGCCAAAGTTTTTTGGGACGTTCCAAAAAGGAAAGATGCAAAGTTTTAAGGGACGGAGGGAGTATTATACTGGTAAACATACGAAGTATATATAGTAAAGGGAAAAGGGGCAAATAAGCCCTCCAACTAAGCCCTCTGTCCGGCCGTTGCCATTTGAGGCGGTTCCCGGTGGAATTTTTTGATGAAATTTTTTGAGCATCTTCTTCAATAAGTCTAGTATACCCATACCAAATTTCAGCTGAAAATCAATCGTGAAGGCAGTCAAACAAATGTTTGAAGATAACTGCACAGTTAAACAGCGCAGTATATTTCAGAAAATCATTTGACTGCCTTCCCGGTTGAATTTTTACCTGAAATTTGGTATGGGTAAACTAGACTTGATGAAGAAGATGATCAAAAATATTCTTTAAAAAATTCCACCGGTAACCGCCCCAAATGGCGACGGCCAGACAGAACCTCCTAAAAAATTCCACCGGTGATTTGCATTTTTGCACCTTTTCCCTATAGTAAACCCTACTTGAGCTATGCAGGGGATCATAATTCTTGTGCGCAAAAAGTTAATGTGATATTTGTTATTGAAAATTCCTAGCTATTCATGTTCAGGAAATGAGAGGGATTTAAATGCGTAATTGGCAAGTATGGTAAGATGAGAACATTAAACAGACCGTGTTCGGATCTTGAAAAAATGGGACTATGGCTGAGAGATTTATGATCTAAGATTACATGAGTTTGAGACAGGACTTTTAATACCGTCTTGAGATGGGAAACGCTAAAGAGTACAGTTTCCTGTCGGCCACCATACAACAACGACAACAACATCCAAGCCTTATTCCCAAAAGATTTTGGGATCAGCTAACATGAAACCATCAATGTTATTACTTTCTATGTTACTTTCTATATTACTTTCCATTGTTCTGTTCATTCTTTATTTTTCTTACCAGATTGGGAAAAAATAGTAAAAAATGAGTTCCTTGCAACTCAATACCAAAAGCTCTCAGAACAGCGTCAAGTGACTTAACATACATAAGTTTCTAAACACTGAAATAAAGATCTGCAGCAAAAAATCCCATCATGAACTTATACAATGCTTTCATGATGAAAACATTTCTGAACTTCAGCAACAAGCAGAACCAATTTCCTACTTCCTAGCCATCAAAAACAAAATCTGGTCATTCTTTTAATATGAGCTCAAAGGCTCAAGCACAACTATATGATGTTCTGAACTAGAAAATCAAAGTAATGGGGAAAAAGAAGTCATTGCTTCAGATAAACAACGCCACCAACCCTGTTATTAAATTGTTAGAAGTCATCCTATATACGCCCTCTGTTCCTATTTATTTGTTTAGGTTGACCACATCACACAGTTTAAGAAAATCTATTGCGGTAATAGATAATCGAATTGTGAATGCTTTAACAAAGAAAATCCCCACTAGAAGCTATCTTCCCATTAATGTCCTCTTGTGAAAATGGAAAATCGAATAGTATGAGAAGGGCAAGTGGAAAACAATTATTATTTTCCATGCATGTATTTCATAAATGGATGGATGAAATAGAACAAGGAAAAGTGGTCAACCTAGACAGATAATAAATAGGAATGGAGGGAGTAGTATTTAAGACTTATATTGACCATTGCTTCATTTGATCATATGACCAGCATAACCAGCCTAAACCATTATTCTACATGTTTGAGTTTCAACAGATGCCATAAATGATTCTAAGCATAACTGTATAATTATGTGAAAGTACTGAAATAAGGACATGCACTAATGGGAACCGTTAAGGTACCTAATTGATTCAGGGTTCAGACAGCAGCTTAAGGCATATAGCAGCAAGACTTCTTAGCAAACTTTCCGAAATTAGATAGCTTTGCAGATTCAATTTATGTTCTTTAGCAGTCCGATATTTCTAAGACCAGACTACACTCAACAACTAAGCAGGTAACCTAGCCGCATAATAGTATAATACTCATGTATCAATGAATGCTAGAATGTGCATATGAATGGGAAACTATAGCCCCTAAAAATGCACATAAATAACAAGAATACATATGGAAAAAACACAGCAGGCAAAAAAGCTTTTCATTAGTAGGGCTATGGGGGTGGGGTGGTGGTAGCATGAATGAAAATATGTACCTCTGAAATTTCATAATAGAAAGAAAATGATAGTTCCAGAATCCAGACTCAGGTGCAAAATCTAAAGAAAAACTAAATAATAGAACCAACTGTCACCTTTATCCTGCTACCTTTATTGGACCCATTTCATCAATCTTTGAACTCTTGTGCTGTAGCAAGTCAGTGCATAAAGAAGGCAGCTGAATTAGTAAAATGAAAAAAAAAATATAACTCATTATGTTCAATTTGGTGAAATTGTTGGATTTTTTACAGGTTTATTTGGAGATAATTAAAAATGTAAATACTTCACTTCACAGTAACCCTTCTTATATTTATTTGGCCACCAAGTGATTAAGATTTGCTGATTTTAGTTCAAAATAACATTTGATAGGTACAGATGTATGTAAGTGGTTAACTTTATTTGAGTCTACACACATCTATTAATAATCAAATTGCATTTAGCATTATATTCATATTTATTATTTAAACATAATAGATGGTTCAAACTTCAAATTAGTGTTAATGTCAAGAAGGCTGAGAAAGAGGTCAAGGAAGAAGAATTGATATACATGCTAAACAATCTCCAGATGCTAAAAGCCTAAAACTGATCTCCTTGCTGCTTATGTTTCCTTGAATTTCCAATTAGTTATTGAGGAATCTTTCTGGAAACAGATGAGTGGAGCTACATGATTTATGGTAGGGTAGAGGAATGCCACCTTTTTCCATGCCAAGGTGAAATGGAGATCGATAACAACAAAGTGGGGGACTCCACTGTTGACTTCTTCAGGAATTTGTTTACTAATGGATTGAAGGATAATGGTTTAGAAATTGTCCTAAATAGAAGCAAAAACAATACGAAATTCTATACGTTTTTATTCTCTAAATAGAAGTAATTACTGCCATGCTTGAAATACCGCCAATTATGGCATGAATACTGCCATATTAGGTCTGGTAATGTCAAAATATGACAGTAAAATTTAAGGATGATAGTAAGTAACTCCTATTTGGGAGGGAACATTGTAGTCCAATTTTGGAATTATATATTGTTTTTACTCCTAGTTTGGGAATTTTCCAATAATTGTTTGATGAGGGTTATCCCTTCTGCTATCATCGTCAGGACAATGAGATGCTTGACAATATTCCTAAAGATAATGACATCAAGGAAACAGTTTTACTATGGGTCCATTGAACGTCTGGGAGCTTTGAGGCTGGATCTTATCAATCCTGTTGGGAAGTCATTAGCAAAAATCTTGTAAAAGAAGTGTGAGATTCTATAAGAGGTAACATTATTCCTCAGGGTGTCCCATCCACCACCATAGTTCTTATAACTACGGTTTATCAGCCAAAACTCCCAAAATTTGGAAGGGCTTGAGACCTATAAGCCTTTATAATGTGTTTTTGAACATCATTACGAGGGTCATGAATAACTGACTGGCTCTATCCTACGTAGAACTAACTCTGAGAATCAGAAGGGATTTATTTAAGAGAGAAATGGTGTGGATAATGTGGTTCTAGCTCAAGAAGTGGTGGTACAACTGTACAAAAAGGTCGCACGCGGATACATCGTAATGAAGCAGGACATTGCTAAAGCCTACAACAGAGTTGATTGGGGCTTTCTTCCATCTCGAAGTTATCAGGCAGTTCGGATTCATTGAGAAATGGGTTGGAAAAGAGAACAGAGCTATCACAAGAATCCAGTTCTACATCCCTGTCAGTGGAGAGCTACATGGATTTTTGCACGCTTCACGAGGATTGAGACTATATCCTCTGTCTTATTCATCATTACAGATGAGGCCCTTTCAAGAGGTAACGTTTCTGAACCATAAAAATTTGAATTTTACGTGCGGGGGAGGGAGAAACATCTCACGTCATCACCACATCTCAGTGTGTTGTTGATGTCACTATCTTTTTCAACGCTCACCAATGCTCTTCTGAGCGATTCATGAGATCTCTATGAATTATATGAAGGAATCCTCTGTTAGGAGGCCTTAATAGCCTGTTGTTATATTCTTTACACAGTTACTTTAATAAAAGTAATTCAACAGGGAAAAAGAGAGGAAAGAATAATGCATGATTTGTACAACTTATTTTGTACGTAGTATGATGGAACTTTTCAGGAAGCATACGGCTTAAAATAATACTCTGTAGTTATTACTAATATTATTGTTATGCTTTAATTCAACTAATTCAAGGTAATTCAACTACCCAGTATCCAAAGCAAAAACTGATCAGGTAAAGTGATACACCCATAACCTTTGGTTCTCAATTTGGATAAACTGATGGTGCTCATCCTACAGCATTATAAGTTCAGGAAACTATTATAGGAAATACCAACTATGAACAAGGAAAGCTAAAAAACAGGGTTACCTTGCTTTTCTTGTGTTTCTGAACATCATTAAGGTCTTTTTCTCCTTCATGCTTCCTTTTCTAGATTCATTAAAGATAGATAGATTCAGTGAATCAATCCAATGTTGTTAAGATCGCGAGTAAACTCATTAACTCGTCCGATCTTATGAGTTCAAACTATAATGATTGATTATCAATCATTACTCATTAGATAAGTTCACATTCTTTGAATCCAGCTCACATTTTTAAGCGGTGGATAACAAGTACATCAGTACATATAAACAATTATCATCAAACTTCTTCATGTTATAAATTTGAAATGTAGATTATTTAACTCAAATGCGAAAATAATGTTGGCCACTTGTAGCTACTAAATCTTTCTGTGTAAGTCTAACCCCATGCACGAATTTATTAGCAAAGTGTCACAAACATGGCAATAGAGTTAAGATGAAAAGCAGTAACCCTCTAATAAGTGATGTAACATGCTTGTTTCCCACTTATATGAAGCAATTAATTTAAAATACAAGTGAGAAGTGAGAACACAAATTTAAGTTTCACATTTTCAGTATATAGCAAAAGAAAAACCATTTAAAGGAAAATGAATAAGCAATGTATTTTTCAAACCTTCTCATGATGTTTCTTTGAATGCTCAGCACCGGATTCATGATGACCGCTTTTGTCTTTCTTTTTCTCTTTGTCCTTATCTTTGCTTCGATCTTTGTGACCATGCTTTTGCTTCTTATGCTCTTTATCTTTGTCCCTGTCCCTATGTTTTTTGTGTTTTTTATCCTTCTCTTTGGACTCACTCTTAGACTTGCCTGCTATAGTCGGAATCCCCTTCTCAGACTACAAAAGTACAAACCCAAAAACAGAGACCTAATTATTAGTACACCCGACCTAATTAATAGTACATCTGGAAGACTGCAATTAACAGAATCAACATTTAAGAATCCAAAAGCAAGCATTTAAAGCAAAACTATTTCCAAAAATAAATCTCAAATTTGATAGCTTCGGTGGTTCATTACCGGAGGGAGATGAATTGGTGTTGTTTCCCTCAGATGAAATGCCTCTACCAGAACATCTAGATCAAAAGGTTTTATCCGTGCATTTGTCTCGCTCGAAAATGAAGTATCCTCAATAAGCTGATCCAATTGCATTCCTTCCCCTTTCCTAATTTCTGCATCTCCCACAACACTATGCAGATAGTGTGTATCTGATACTGATACTGGAAGTGAATTCTTGCAGAAGAACTCATGATGTGGCAGCAACTTGAAGTGCCTAAAGAGGTCTACGGAACCTGAAAGCTCGCGCAGGCCTGATAAATTAATGGAACCAATTTAGAAATCAATGCATATGGATCCGAGCTTCAGAAAAGATTATTTGAGCACTAGAGCAAAGATAGTGCCATAAGAAACTAAGATAGTGCTAATTAGTATTCGGGGGTAAAGGTATTCAATGACTTACCTCGCCCAAATTTCCTGTTATTCACATCCATCTTTTAGCATCAAGTAAATTAAAATGGCATTATTTCCTGAAATAAAACAGAGAAGGAAAATATGTACACATGGTTTCATTGACACAATAATAAAAAAGTCAAAATAAAATCACATTCAAAGAATACAACAGTCACATAAAAATATCTGCACTCTTGGTAAAAAAAAACTTAGCAGGGTTTAAAACTGGGTGCAATCTCCAACTTGGAAGAAAAATGGGGTACAGAGTACAGACAACAACTTAGAACAGTCATGTAGGGGACAATCTCAACTTATATTATCACCCACCCTTGCATCCGATTCTGTTTAGCCCATCTCCCTCTTTAGGCCTGTCTTTGAAATATTTTTCTCATAACAAATTTGGCCATACATATTGTGCCTTACAGTAATTGCTACTTCTATAAATTCAATATAAACCGTACAATCCTACTTTTCTTTGATATTTGATTATTTGAGTCAAACTTAATCACCCAAACTTAATGAGACAGATATGATATAGTTTTAAAGAACTTTCATAAGGACTGTACAAATACTAATGATTTCAAGAAGTGGGTGCATGATGTCCCGTTTTTCTAACAATTCTGACGGCTTGAACTCAAACTTCTCTATGATCGGCAGTACTCTGCGCCTTTGAAACTATAAAATTGAAACGAAAAGAACGTTAAATTACCAGATGAAAACAAGGTTGCGGAATAAAACAGGGATCCACGGGGAAGTACGGCACCGCTAAAAAGAGAATGTCCCTCTATTGTTTAATTTAATCGAATATGCTCCGGAATTAGCAAATCGATTGAAAAGAATAAGGTGACGGAGTTAGACTTCAGCTAAGCTTCGTGGCTCCACAATCAGCCCAAGTCCTTAGCTGCTTAACCTCGTGCACCTGGTTCCTGAGACTTTAAGAGGATGAGCGTGTGCGAAAGAAGAGAAAGAAAAGGAAAGGAGGCCAAACATTATCAAAAAGAAAAAATGACCCCAATATTAGTTGGGGGACTTCGATTGACAAAAATAAGAACTTTTGCTTTTTTGCCAAAAAAAAAAGACTAATCCGTTGTGGTTCATTTAGGTGGGCAATTTTGCCCTTCAAAATATAAACTGAATTACTGCTAACGCACTCTTCTTCCTCCGGCTGTATTTCGTTTTTCATTTCGTTTTATTCATCTTCTACGGAACAAAAATACTGGAACCTTCAGAATTTTGGAAAAAAGCAAAAGTCTGTTATGCATGCACTTGCGCTCCATCGCTCTGTATTCCGTTCTACTCATCTTCTTCCATCGAACTGAAATATGCCGCACTCAAAATCTTCAGAATTCTCGAAGTTAATCGCTCTGTATAACTGTATTCATTGTGTCGCTCAGACTAAGGTATTCGCTCAATCTTACTGGAGTCGTTCACTCATTATGTTTACATATTGATTTGTTTACACCGTTATAATGTCATGCCTACATTTGATTGAATTTGAGATTTGAGTAAACTAGTGTTCTCTTCTTACACTTAACCAGTTTCGTTTATTTATTTCTCTCAACTTCTACTCATCATTACCTATTTGCTTATTTGGAACTTCGAATTTCAGATTGTGAACATGATTTAGATTGTTTCATGGGGCTTCATTGTGTAAAGTTCCTTTAATTGTGTTGTAATTGAAATTAACTGTTGTGGTTGAAGTTAACTATTCTGGTTTTTGCGTTCAGGTATACTGCCCAGTAAATGAACTTAAATATTCTAAGTTATTGACACTTTTACTGCATTATTTTTCTTCATTGATAACCTAAAATTTTGTATGTATGTAATTTCCTGTAATGCGATTGCTCATTTTGAATTTGCTTTAAACACCATATTCTTGGTAATGTAGCAATGTCAGACAGTGATTTCACATCCTCCCTGTCAATACACCTAAGCGACGCTCATCATCCCGCTTAGCTATTGTGCATAAGGAGAATGATGTATGATTTCCTTTTGTCCTCTTTTGCCGTTTGATATTTTGTTTACAACACTATTGTCTGCCCTTTCAATTCATTTACTCACTCTTGCTTTGTGTTTTATTTTTTCAGAAGTATTCGAGATTGGTTGACAAGTCATTGGTCTATAAGGACATACCTAGTAGGAAAGTTAACACATTTGCCAGGATTAAAAAGTCAATAGACCTTGTCAAGTCCAAATTACTTCCACATCAATTAGACTTGTTTAGGCAAACAGTTTTTGGCTAAGGAATTGGCTTGTTGTGGCCAGCTTCTACATCTTTTAGTAGGGAATTTGGTTCAGCTAGACCGGAATGTCGACAATGATAACCCTGCTCGCTTATATTTTGAAATTGAAAATAGGATCGTTTCATTTTCAGTTTCTGATTTCTCCCAGATTTTAGGCTTTGGTTACAGTGATAATTTTCAAGCTATTTCCACTGATTCCACTGAAAGGGGATCTATATGGCAAAAATACTTTCCTGAGTGTCAACAAACTGTTTTCCGGATCCATATTAAGAAAGCTTTATCATCAGTTCATAAGGGCAGTGAACCAGATGATGCAATATTAAAGCTGTCATAACTTCATGTTTTATCTCATGCTTTTTTAGCCGCTGAAGGTTAGGTGTCTGTTCATAGGAACTTCATTAATCTGGTAGATGATCTTGCTAGCTTTAATTCTTTCCCGTGAGGAAATGTGATGTGGGTAGACATGGTTAAGTACCTTAAGACTGGAGTAAAGGGCATGATATCCAATGAGTCGCACTATAATGGGGTCTCCTCGTCCTTCGGCCAACTCCCTCTCAAGGATGGTGACCTTGTTCAGAAGGGCGTTGAAATCGGGATCCCTGGATGAGTTGCCGGTGTGCGTGGCGGCCAGCTGCTTGGCCTCCATCTGGGCGAGCCTTCGCTCGAGTTGGGCGATCACCTCGTCCCTGGGGTCTTTGGCCACCATGGTGGCTCCCTGTGTTTACAAGCGGGCTGTGTGAGCCGTGTTGATTTGGTGACGGGCATCACCTTCGTGCAGTTTCCCCTTGCCTTTGTCCAGACGGGGCTGATCCGCTGTCCGGGATACCAACCCCAAGCTTTTCCTGGGTGAGCCAGGCTCACGCTGACCAATCCGCCCCGCCATCCTCTCCGAAGCAGGCCGACGGCACGTGTCACCTAGCCTGTTAAAGGCTGAGGCTTTTCCACGCGCTGGGGGCGGTCCAGCTCGAAGCGGGGAAGCGGGGTGGGAGTGGGACGACGTCATGTCCTGGGGCACCACCCCCTCATCGTTGCCTAGCCTGACGGTCAAGGGCTGGGGTTGAGGAGGCGGCGTCGTGTTCTCCCCCGTCCTTGGCATGAGTGCGCTGAGGACGGTAGGGTTCTGGGCCAAGCTGGCGATGATGGCCGAGAGTGCGTCCTGAAGCTGAGGGTCAAGCAGGAGAGGCCGGTTGCGCTGAGGCGTTGTCGCCTTTTCCGCGCGCTTCTTGTCCAAGCCGATGCGGGCGTCGGGGGCGCCGCCGTTGAGCTTGTTTCGCAAGTCACCTGCAGGGTCGATGGCTTCCTGGAAGACATCCCCCTTGGCGGCCTTGTCGGTTGTAGCATCCTCCTCGTGCTCTTGGTTCTCTTGTGCCTCAGGGATGGCCTTGCTGAGGAGGTTGCAGTTTGACTTAGTTCTTCCCATTGTCAGTTAGCTGTGCTTGGTAGCGACGAAGGAGGCTAACTTGATTGTACTAGCTCTCAATGAAAGCACCAAATGATAGACTATAAGTCTAGAGAGAAGTGAGAGCTAGAGAGAGAAATGCAGTAAATGCTTTGTATTAATGATTTTTGTGAACCCTCATAACTACTCCCAAGAGGAGTATTTATAGAGAAAATTAGGGCTGGGCTCCCAAGTCTTGGGCTTGGGAGACCCATTTACAATAGGGCCACTAATGGGCCGGATACAAGGTGTACAGAAAAGATTAAGTGTAAAATCCTGTTCTGGAGGCTGTCTATGGCCGATGAGGGCATGACCGAAGAAGACCCGACCGACGAGGTCACCCGGCTCTCCTGGCCTCTGGGTCATATTCTGAGTAGACTTCTTTCTGGTCGATGAGGTCATCTGGCCGACGAGGGTCTCATCAGGTGATCGTGGTACCTTCTGTTCTCCTGAGTATGTGCGTCCTGGAGTCCAAGCCCATATACTCCATCAGCAATCAAGCTTTTCTTCTTAATAATTATTTTCTTTTCATTTTTAACTTGTTAAATTTTGTGTACTTATTTACGGTTAAATATTTAGTATTTTGAAATTATATTTTTTATGTGTTAGCACTTAGCGGTTTAATGATGAAACACATTAATGGTTATTTTTTTATGGTAAATAGACAACGTACCATAATTGCACTGATGTAATACTATTGATTCTAATATTGGTTCTTCTAGAAACTTCTAGAACCAAATCGATATGGGATTAACGGTTCTTCAAATGCTTCCTGATTTTCTTTGAAGAACTGAACTGATCTCACCCCTATACTTTTCTTCGTAAGACGACATATAAAATATCAGTTTTTAATTTTTTTTAAGTTTATCTTGCGTATCAGTATTAATATATGTAGAATATCCTTTTTCAACTTTATTTATCGTAAAATGATACTCCCTCCGTCCCTAAAAGGATTGCAAAGTTTGACCGGCACGTAGAATAATAAAGTAAAAATTGTGTGGTAGAGATTTGTGCACAGGAGAGAGAAATAACAGGAACCACAAATTGATTGACTAAAAGGGAAAGTGGCAAAGTTTTTGGGACAACCAAAAAAGGAAAGTTGGCAAAGTTATAAGAGACGGATGGAGTATCAAATTTTAATGTTCAAATCTTGACCATCCTAGGGCCGGCACTAGTCATGAACTTGATGGCCGGTTTGTGATCTCGAGTAAATGATTAGCCAAATCTGTAACCAGGTCTATGCGTACTTGTGACAAGTATAAGACAACAGAAAAAATCACGGAAATCTTTTGTGGACTTTTAAAAATCCACATTGAATACACCTAAACTTTTAAAATTCAAGGACTTTTAAATTTTTTTTACTAATTCCTAATACAATATACCCCCTTAGTCTATTTTTGAAAAAGACTTCAAAATGACAAAAGTTATATTAATTTCACTTTTAGGTCCATTTGTGCAATTTTCCCTGCAAGATTCCACCAAATGATTTGGAGGCGCTTCTTTGAAATGAAAGCGCCGCAGGAAGTTTAAAAAAACAAAAAAAAAAACTAAAATAGAATTGGAGGCCCTTGTTATATGAGAAGCGCCGCACGGCTAGAATAAAAAATATTTGGAATGTGACACTTATGAATTTAAAGCGCCGCACGTAACCGATCAAAACACAATATATATAAGAGACACTTCTTGCCAAATGAGCGCCTCCAATTAAACATTGCGACGCAGAAATTGGAGACACTTAGGCGCGCCGCACGCAGTTGTTTCTAAGCGCCTTCAATGGATGTTTTTCCACTAGTGTGAGATTACATTTGTAAAAATACGATTTACATTTTGGTATAAAGAATTTACAAAATATTAAGACAAAAACCATAGTTAGTGTTCATTAGTGCTGTAATTGTAGTTAAAACTTCAACCAAAGGACGTTGTTTTAGCTGTGAGAACATAATGCTCACCATGAAACACTTATTTAGGGTATAATAACAACTATTGTAGCATGCATCGTTTTGAAATACTAAAATGTCTTACCCCTATTTAGGGTAGATTCTTTTTTAGAATTAATTCCACTTTAGGTCATCTGAGTTTTGTGTCATTTCCATATTTAGTCCCCGTCTTTCACTTTATCCATTTTTTATACCTAACTATTGTTTTCTTGACCATTTGTGGTCCATTTTTGAGCATTTTTACTATCGGAAAAGGACTATATGGTCAAGAAAACAATAGTCAGGTACCAAAAATGGATAAAATGAAGGACGAGGACTAATTGTGGAATGGTGCAAAACTCGAAGGACCATAAGTGAAATTTCTTCTTCTTTTTTATTAAACGTAGGGAACTCGATCAATCATACTACTATTTGAGTTGTTCTATGTAATTAATAGTACTACTAATAAAAGAAATAATCTAATTAAATAGGAGTTGAAATGTGTGAATTCCAAATAACTGAATAAGTCTAATATATTTTTGTATTCCGATCCCTAGCTAAGAGTAATTACTTTTTGGCACTATCATACTCTAAACATAACATTGTTATCCAAATTTGACAGTATTTTTCCATATTTAAAACAAAAATTCCTATAGTCCCGTTTTGCAATTTCAAAATATTTTTACTCTTATTTTGGATTCCCAACTAATAAACATGAAAAAGCTAAGTTCAAACACTTTTCTGGCACAAAATAGGTAAAATAATTAGGGAGCAGTTCATATCTTCTTTTTGGAAAGAAAGTACCCCCTCAGTCCCAAATTGTAAGATACATTTACTATTCACTTGGTCAACATAAATCACTCTTAATCTTTTATTTTATATATCAAAAATTTATGAAATTTGAATTATTTTTTACAGGTTTTGTAGCGATTTTAATGTAGTTTCTGAATATGTAAATTTTATTTTCTAAAACTAGTTTGAGTGTTGGCAGAGATCAATTTGCTTTATCGTCGGTCAAACATCGTAAACCGTAAAGTATCTTACAAATTGGGACGGAGGGAGTAATAAACTACGGTCTACGGGTAGTTCTCTTGTATCCCAGCTAGCTTCGTCTGGTCAGGAGTTTCTGGCTGCCTTCTTTTAGAGTGTAAAAACATTGGTAGAGCCCGTCCTCCCCCAGAACCACCTCTGTGTTATGAAGAGTTTTGTTAAAAGACTTTATTTCAATTTTATTTTTCATTAGTACTTGTTTTTATTATTTTAGTTTGAGTAGGTTTGGTTTGAAAATTTGAAATTCTGGAGTACATTTGTTAGACAGTATTTCAGTTCAGATTATTCTAAGCTTTAAATTGCCCATTTCATGTCTAGCAAATCAGGTTGCTCTGTATGAGGTGATTGATTCTATGTCTATTCTCAGAGCTCATAATCAGATCTGTCATAACTGGTTTGGATGCTATATTGTATCTTTTCTGAATTTTAATATAAAAAGTCGATCCTTAATATTAAAAAAGGTATATTAATTCATTAATGGGAAAACTGTCAAATAGGTCCTCGAACTTTCATAAAAAGGTCAATTAAGTCCTTCTAAAGGAGGTTCTGTCCGGCCGTGGCAATTTGGGTCAGTTCCCGGCAGAACTTTTTAATGAAATTTTCTGAGCATCTTATTCACCAAGTCTAGTTTACTCATACCAAATTTCAGCTAAAAATTGAATCGGGGCCACATTCAAATTAATTCTTGAAGATAACTGCGCATTTTTGCGTTCTCGAATTAATTTGAATGCGCTCCCGATTAAATTCTTAGCTGAAATTTGGCATGACTAAACTAGACTTGATGAATAAGTTGCTCAAAAAAATTCATCAAAAAATTCCACCGGGAACCTCCCCAAATTGCGATGACCGGACAGAGTCTCCTATAAAAGGACTTAATTGATTTTTTTATGAAAGTTCGAGGATCTATTTGACAGTTTTCCTTTAATTAATTGGCACTGAAGTAACAATTACTCGATATATTATATTCATTAAGAGCAATCAGACACTATTCTTACAACGTAACGAATATACCACTCATGGCAATTCATTAAGAGCATTAATTATATTGAACATTTGTTGAATACGTACTATATATATGGCCTTAGGTCGACACATTTCTTATCGTCTATCGAGCTTGTTTATTCTTGAAAAAGTTAGAACCTCCAAAAATTGTATAGATAAATTATTATTCCTTATCTTTGTAAAGATATAATAAAGTGCTAGTTTTACTTTTTGTCATTTTATGATAAATTATTATTATTATTATTATTATTAATTTATTATTCTGTGTAGGTTGCCTATTAGTCGATCATGGAGCTATTATCTACAAGGGGAAAACGTCTTTTATGTGTAGTATGCACATTGATTGCAGTCGTTACTATTGGTACGAAAAAATGAAATTCCATTTCTTGTGTATTTGATTGGTGCATGTAATTTTTCCTCGATCTACATATATTAAATTAGTTAATAACAGTAGAAGGAATGCATGGAAATTGCAAACATGTATGAAATGGCATTTTTTTCTCAAAATATACTGGAAGAAAAATTGAGAAAAATTAAATAAGCTACATAACTTACGATTTAAAGATGTTTAAATTCTTTTTTGGGAGAGAAATTAAACATGTTGTAACAAAAGTAAACACACACGTGTATGTTCAAATTATACACTACAAAAAATAATTGGATTAACAAAGATTATTTTGGTAGGAATTTTGGTAGGAATTCGCCAAATTTATAGAGTATTTGGTAGGAATATGCCAAATCCTTGTCAAAAACATTTTGAAATGACCTATTTGATATGAAATCTCTGATCTATATGTGCTAAATTCGTGTCAATCCCTTATTTTTTTGTAGTCATATAAGACAACGGTTCTAATGTCTTTGTACTACATATTAATTAAATTTTACTAAAGCATATATACCATATATTTTTCTCCTATGATGGCAACTAGGGTGATCTTATTAAGTGATATATTTGAATCTTTGATATTAATTTAATTAATGATTTTCCATTGATTAAGTGGGTACTTTTATAGTAATAAAAAATGGTGATCATTCATATAAGTTGAAAGCAGGGGCATACATAGAGGCATGTTAGCACCCCCTCAATCCAAATTTGGTAAAAATATTGTTTGAAAGACTTTTTTGTAAAAAAATCCATTAAAATTTTGTTTATATGCTACCATAATGATGGCTATAAATGTCCGAAAATTTCTTAACACGGTGCAAACAAAACAATACTCCATATAGATGATAATAATAAGAGAATATAGCTTTAAATAATATAATATAAATACATTTCCATGAACTAAGAATAATACATACTTTGGAAATAACTTTTAATAATACCAACTATTTAAATATAGACCAAAAGTATGTAATATAGAGCATTTTTTCACCAAAAGTTTAGTCATCCCAAAACTAATAGATAGTATTAAAATATCAAACAAGTGACAGTATTTCCAAATATCATTTATTTGGTGGCTTGCTATTAATTTTTTATGTCTTAAACAACTTGATTTTTTTGTTGAAAAGTGACTACACATTATTTTTATTTTATATTCAAATTTTTGGTATTATTAAAACCATTTTCAAAGTATGTATTATTATTGCTTGATGAGTGATATTGGTATTATTTAAAGTTATTTTGTCTAATATAATAATAATAGTTGTAGTAGTAGTAATAATAATAACAATGATAATAATAATAGTAATAATAATAATAATACCATAATAGAGTAGTTTGTGAATAGTTACAGCTTAATTACCACAATTCCACAAACTGCAATAATAGGAAGATAACGATCGACATTATATAATTTATTCATTGTTACCATTTAATGTTGTATTTCGCTTGTATGTAGGACTTCAAGTTTGTGCAGAAGATTATGATTACAGCTTCTCTAATGAGGTAATTAACTTCCTAATGTTGGATCTTTATTTCATATTAACATACATTATCTGATCTGTTTGCTAATAATATTAATATATTATATATTTGTGTGGGCAGTGTTTGAAAAATCCTCTAAAGCCTCAATACAATGGAGGAATGGTGATCAACCCAGAGTTTAATAATGGACTGCATGGCTGGTCTGCTTTTGGAAATAATCATGTGAACCTAACCAAGGGAATTTCTGGGGACAATATTCCAAACAACTTCATCATTGCTTCTAATCGAAAGGACCCTTATGATAGTTTTTCTCAAAAGTTTTATTTGAAGAAAAATAATCACTATACAGTTTCAGGTATTTCTTTTAATTCATAACATGAAAATTAGTTTCAATAACTTGTTATAATATGTTATTTATATGTATATATATTGTAGGTTGGATACAATTAAGTGAAGGCCAAAGTGATGTATCAATCGTTTTCAAAACACCAAGTGGCTACAAGCATATAGCTTGGGTTATTGCTCGATCAGGCTGTTGGTCCATGTTTAAGGGGGGCATTGTTGCTTCTGCTTCTGCTACCTTTGAATTATATTTTCAGGTATTTTTACATACTCTTTCTTTTTTGTTTTACTATTTTATACTCCTTATTTAAGATTCCAATAAACCCTTACCCAATTTTCTAATACTTTTGGTTTCACAGAGCAACAATACCCAAACTGAAATATGGGCTGATAGCATATCAGTAAAAGAATTCACCCCAGAGCAGTGGGCAGCTCACCAAGTTAAGAGTATTGAGAAGGTAATTAAAGTACTAAATTCTTTTGAATACGATCCCCTTACCCCACCGTAGGTGGGAGCCTTTGTGGCACTGGGGTAAATGAAAATGAAAATGAACTTGAATTTGATATGTTTGTCATGTTCTAGCAATCTAGCTACATCTGTTCAAAGTAATATATTGTTGAAAATGTGTAGATACGCAAATCAAAGGTAGCGTTACAAGTGGTGGATTCGAAAGGGAAACCTTTACCGAATGCGACGATCACACTTGTACGAGGGAAGCCAAACTTTCCATTGGGGTGTGCTATCAACAAGAACATCTTGAACAACAATGCCTATCAAAACTGGTTTTTCTCGAGGTTCAAGTACACAACATTTGAGGATGAAATGAAGTGGTACACAAACGAGCCTACTCAAGGCCGCGAGGACTATTCTGCCGCAGATGCCATGCTTAAGTTGGTAAAAGGTCGAGGCGTCAACGTTCGAGGCCATAACGTGTTTTGGGATGACCCTAGATATCAACCTTCTTGGGTCAATAACCTGGCAACCAATCAATTATGGAATGCGGCTACTGCAAGGGCGGGTTCGATCATTAAGAGATATGCAGGGCAGTTAATCCATTGGGATGTTATGAATGAAAACCTTCACTTTACATTCTTTGAGGGCAAGCTTGGTCCAGAGGCTTCTGCTGTTTATTATAAAATGGCCAACTCATTTGATTGGAAGGCAACCCCTTTCTTGAACGACTATAACACCATTGAACATAAGGAAGATCCCTTATCAACCCCTAGCAAGTACCTTGGCAAGATAGAACAACTTCGAGCGCAAAAATATGGTGGTCCTTTGGGCATCGGACTCGAGGCTCATTTCGACGTGCCCGACTTGGCATACATTAGGACCGCTATAGACACACTTGCTAGTTCAAAGTTTCCTATTTGGATTACCGAGTTGGATGTTTCACCACGCCCTGATCAGGCACAATTGTTGGGACAAATTTTGAATGAGCTTGTTGCTCACCCGGCTGTTCAAGGCATCATAGTTTGGTCTGCGTGGAAACCAAATGGATGTTACAGAATGTGTTTAACCGATAACAACTTTAAAAACTTGCCAACGGGAGATGCCGTGGACGGGCTCCTGAAAGCTATGAGCAATGAAGGTATGGCAGGCAACACATCAAGTGAGGGCTACTTTGAAGCTTCACTCTTTCATGGTGATTATGAAGTGAAGGTTGATCACCCGTCTTTCGAGAAATCAATGACTCACACCTTGGGAGTATCTTCAACCGTTGGCGATCAGAGAACGCTTCATTTCAAAGTTCTTCAGCACTAATAATTCATACTTTATTCATAGTTTCATGCCTAGTTTTAGACTTTTTCAATAACGTTTAGATTAAAATTTTAGCATTAAATTGTTAGAATGATATATCACGATTAATTTTATTAGAGTATTTTAATGGAATGAGAGTATAATTACCTTTGCAATCTTCCAATTTCGTTTTTATGATTATTATTCTTTTTTCAAAAAGTAGATAGAACTATATTTTTTAGAAAAAATCTAATGGTACACGCTATTGGTACACACTCTTACATACTCATGTCTAAAGACTTTTTTTATGTCTGTAGACATTCGTATGTAAGAATGTGTCATAGACATGAGTATGTAAGAATGTTCAAACAAAGTTGGTAGCCCAAGACTGATTCATTTTTTTAAACCAATTAAATTGAACTAATTGAGAAGGAGAAATTATTTATTTACTTTTATTTTTGTGGCTGCGGCTTAGTAACAAACAAGCTCAAAAATAAGTCAACAAGTCAACAACCAATGGGACAGTAGTTTAAGTGGGCCCATCGCCGTCTTTGGCTTTATCGGGGACCGAGAACCTCCACCAAGAGGAGATTTGGCATAGGGAGTCGTAAATATGACTTCTCTCCTTGTTCTTCGGATATTCCTGCCTCTGTTACTATTATTCGGATCCTGTTGCTCGACCCGAATCGGCCTTGGAGTGGACTTGGAAGCCGATCTGAATCTGCAGAAAGATCAGAGAGAGTTCGATTACTTCATGCTCTCTCTGCAGTGGCCCGGAACCGAATGTAACCAGACTAAGAAATGCTGCTCCGCCAATGGCTGTTGCCGGTAATTTCCGCACAGACGCTCTGCAAATTTTTGTACTCAATCAAAGATGTTCTTAGTTCAGTTAGTTGCTTTAGCTATAAGATTTGTCGACCTATTCAGTTAAATGATGCCGCTCTGTGAATTTGTGCAGCTCCAACGCAATTATTGGATTCACGATTCGTAAGTCATTCGTAGTATTTCACTAGTTAAGTCTACCGGATTATTAGCGCCTTTCACTTTAACGTCCTTAAGTTCAAAATTTACAACAGATCGCCATTATTCATACGTAAACAAGGATTCTAAAACAAGGATAGAGGGTCGGGTAACCTTGATAGAGTTTTTTTGATAGAGTAAATACCATCCAAATAAATATTTTAATCCTGATGTAAATTGGGATGTCTTTTAAAATTTACAAGGGAAATGTTAATTAGTTTATTTTCATATTTAACCAATGTAAGATAAAGCTCATTGTATAATACAGAGTAGTTCGTGTTTTATATTTGGCTTCCAAGTTTTATATTTGGCTTGCTTGAGTTGTTTTTTACAATTAGTTCCGTTACAGTATGAGATTTCCTTTTGGAATGTGAGAATGTAGTTTTCTTACTTCTCCTCCTCTTAATGTACACAAAGATTTCAATGGAAGTATGAAAAATTAAATTTGACAGAATTTTAACGTACGGACAATTGGGAAGTCTTTCTCAATATCTAGCCACGATTTGGTAGATTTTGAAATTGATGGCGTAAAATGGAAAACAGTCAAAATGCTCATAGTTTGTACGTATGATATAGAAGAAGCTTGTATAGTATAAGGATCATTCCTTTGCAGATGGACTTTGGGCTGAATATAATGGAGGCAAATCATGGCCTTCGTGCTGTGAAGGTTCACAATTTAATGAAAATGAGGTCTGTTATTTGCTTGCTAACCTTTATTTTGTGATTATCTTAATTGGTTTGACAATATAATTGTTATTGCGTGTACATTTATGTAGATCTCAAGTTTACTGGATGACTTGAATAAGTACTGGCCATCTTATAGATGTGGTACCTCCACAACATGTCATGCTAGCAAAGGACCATTTTGGGCTCATGAGGTTTTTTTCTTCTTTTTAACATATTAGCTCTGTTACAACGTCATGGAGAAATTCATGGTAGGCTTGATTTACCACGTTATCCTCACTCCGTTCGAGACAATTCAAACAAGTCATTCTTTTTTACATCGACTCCACAGTGAATCTATAGCAAACTATTACTACCTTCGCCCATTAAGTTCGAGACATGAAATTTGGCACAAACACAAAATATGACCAAATTTAGAATGGAACAAGTACTTAGTACTTTGGTGGGTCCGAAAAGTGAAAGATTGGACGAAGGGAGTACTATTTTGTTTTAAGTCATGGGCCAAATATATAGATATATAAGACATTGAGCCCGTTTGGTGGCCTCTTTTTTCAGCTTATCAGCCAGTTTTATCACCAAACATGTAATTTTTAATTTCGCGCGCTGAATTGTGCAATAATAAGAAAAAGTAAGGTTGAAGTTACTTTTCTGGCTGTATTGGCTGAAGTTACTGTAGAGGATTATTTTAGCTATTTTTTCATATAATTTTTTATTTTATTTATTAATAGCAATTATTTTAAATATTTTTTTTATAAATCAGCAGAATTAGCCAATACAGCCACTTCAGCTAGAACTTAATAAATTTCAGCAAAATAACCAATTCAACCAATTTCAGTGTTACCAAACGGGCTCATTGAGTTATTCTTTTATCATGTTGTCTTTTTAGAATGGAATGTCAAATTTTGATATTTTATTAGAGCTAATTAAACTCAACGACAAATTGATCTCACTATGACTCACAAGAAGTTCACGGATTTTTATTTTCAGGAATGATTTTTTCCCAACTGACTTTTTATGGATAGAAACCCAAGCTTTAATAATCACAAGTTCACAACCGATTAAGAGCACTCAAATACTTCGTATTAAGATTGGTCAGTTACAACTTACAAAGCCACAATTTTACGGGCATTTTATGTTAAACCATGTTAGTTTTTAGAATGAAATCCAAATCCTTACATTATGTAGTAAAGATGAAATGGTAGTTTGGGTCTACCTAGGAATCTCTCAACGATGGGTTTATATTACAAGAAACTAACTTATTCTCCATTTCTCCTTGTGTACTGCTTGTGGATGACTCTGGGAACTTCTGTTCAGTGGGGTAAACAATTTCTCTCTCACTTTCGACCTTCTATTTTTCAATGTTTTTCTCATTCTGCTTTATCCTGTAGAATGATATACTATGAGAGTAGACATGAATTGCTAATGCTACTTATATCATTTATATTGTTATGGTAGACATCAATTGCTAGTGCTAATTATATCATTTATATTGTTATGTTGCTTCTATTTGATTTCTACAGAGAAACATGGAACATGTTCCTATCCAGTTGTTCAAAATGAAAATGAATACTTCCTGACAGCCCTCAACCTGTACTTCCAATACAATGTTACAGTAAGCTTGCCATATTGTTGGATTGAGATGTGTAATGCTATTGAGTCTTGGCTTCCAACTAACCTAATTTGCAGGAAGCTTTGTTCAGGGCTGGGTATGTACCCTCAAACTCTGAAAAGTACCCCCTAAAAGGCATCATTTCAGCCATTCAAAATGATTTCCATATTAACCCAGAAGTTGTTTGCTCCGGTGACGCCTTGGAAGAACTTAGGCTTTGCTTCTATAAGAACTTCGAGGTCTTCAATGAACTTTTTATTTTCTCAACTCTCACAAGTACAAAAAGATATCTGAAATATTGTTATCTCTACTCTCAAATTCCCAATATCTTTTTTATTAGAAAACCTACAAATTATGATTTATTATCCAAAAAGTTCTGATATCATTATATTCAATTATTTTCCCTTAAATTAAAAGTGTCGATATTTCCAAATTTTTATCCTTTATATATTGTAATGGTATACTGCACACATTAAGGAAGACTCGCTCAATGATTTATTCATCAGTTTTGGTCAAGTTATTATATTCTTGGATTTTTTCGCACCTGAACTTGAAGGAAATGATCTGTTTTTCTTCTTGTAGCCGCGTGACTGTGCAACAGAATCTAGTAGTGTAAGTGCCAAGATCTCTTTGAAAAGCTCATCATGCCCTTCTTATGTCAGCTTACCAATACATGATGCATCACAATGTAAGTTTTCCTTGTTAAAGAAAGAGTATTGGCGCATGAATGAATACCTTTATAAGTTGAGAAATTGTTCTAGATAGGAGTAAAAACAATGTGAAATTTTAAAATAGGAGTAATATGTTTTTATTCTCTAAATAGAAGTAATTACTGTCATATTTGGAAACTTTCCATACTTTATCCATCTCCACTCCTTCATTTGCTAGAGTTGTGTGTTTATTTCTATTTTCAAGAATTTAAGAATTTGTGTGTTTTAATTTAATTCTTTTCTCATGGATGTGGTTGTGAGCATCTCTTAAGGAGAAGCTATTTTGTTAAATCATCTCATGTCAAGAAAAATATAAAATACAAATGACCAAATAAGATTTTGTTTTATTTTGCTATCCATTTTATGATGGGACTTCGAGTCTTAATATAGATTCTGCTAAGTCATAAAGAGAAATTAGTCTGGCTAACAGTAAATAAAGTGCATGAGTTTTAACATTGATCTGCTCTAATGACAACGTGCATGTTAAGCCAGCTCACAAAGACCAAGATACAAACCAACATATAAGATTTTAGTGGTTACTCATGTTGAGTCATTTACCGTTTTAAATGAAACTTCAAGTCTTATATTTTGGAAGCTTGGAATTACTGATTATTCGTTCATTCAATCATCATCACCTCTTTAAAGATGTTGTGTGTTTCCATTGTGAAGGTCAACCACTTGTTTTTGGACATTCAGATTAGATCACTAGAGTGATAAACTAAAGAAACATTATGCAAAAATAAAGTGATATTGTCTCCATATGATATCTGTCAAATTAAGTTTTTCAACATACACCCAAGTCTTTCTTAAGGAATAGTCTCCAGATGATATTGTTCTGAGATCATTTGTTAGTAAAATATATGTTGCTTTGAATCTCAACAGTTTCCTCTATTTCGGCTTCCCAGGGCTTGTAAAAAAAGAAGCTGCCATCTTCCAGGCTACATGGTAGAGCGCTGATCAGAGTATTTATTGAAAGAGAAGACAGTTGGGGAGCCTAGTTTGGGATTGTGCTGTGGTTTCCTTTTATTGCCGATCCTTGAAATGCAAACTCTTGCAAAGATTGTTGTAAAATAATAAACGAGTCAAAGTTTCAGCCTGAAACTACCATTTCAAACTAACTAAATAAAATATCCTGCAGACTGCAAATCCAAATGACATAAGAGCATCTTTAATGCCACATTGTTAACATTGAATAAATTTTGACACATGGCAAACAATAAATGGAATGTTCATCCACGTCATATAAGAGTTAAGTAAATAGATGACGGAATCCAAAAATCTTGTCCAATGCTTTATATGTTAACATGCAATATAAATATTACGTGTAAGCTTTTGCTTTTAAAATAATAAATAAATCGATCACCATCTTTCATTAAAATTCAACTGCACGTCAGAACCCTTCCAAGTTGGCTTGAATGTTCAATTAAAAAAGAATGAATCAACAAGCTCCTTGTAGAGAAAGAAAATCAGAAGATCTGGTTGTGAAATTCATTAAAGAAAAAGAAATACGGAGTAATAATTTTGAGATAGGAAATTTGTGGATACTGAAAGCATAAATACAAGAAAATAAACTCTTTCCCCAACACAAATCTGCTACGCCGGAACCTGGGATTCTGGAAGTGCTTTATGGTGTAAAAGGATTAAATGATAGAATTAATCTTTTGTGGTAGAGAAGAGAATTAGAGAAACCCACGTACTACTTGGAGTTATTGGGCATACATGTCGTGGGTGCGTGGCTGGTTTGGTTCGGTATGCAGAGATATTTTTTGGGCAGGAGAATTTCTAGAGTTTTTCTACATTATTGCGGCATTTCTCAAACGGAATATGCCTAGTCAGCATGTCAAGGACCATGTTATTTCAAGACAGTCATGACAACATTGTTTACGTTAATTATTTACACATCAGCATTGTATGAACTCAAACATATTGCATTGGAGACGTAAATAATAGAAACAATGTTGACATGAATGACGGAGCAGTTTGTATTACTGTGAACATGCTCCCATTGGTGATGCTCTAATTTGTTGATTATCGAAGCGACAATGTATTGACCATTTAGTTATACTTTTTTTATAATGGAAAAACTGTCAAATATGTCCACCTATTGTATGTCCACCTATTTTTAACAAAAAGTCAATTAAATTCACCTAATTTTTTTAATCAATCGAGTCCGTAAAGTATCAAAAAATAACCAAATCGACTTTTCATAGGTTAGCAAGTGGTTACCTGGTGAACGCCTACGTGGAATTCACATATGGCATTTTTCCCTTATTCTTTTTTTTTCCTTTTTTTTTTTTTTTTGCATTTTCTTCCTTTTCCCTATTTCTTTGTTCTCTTTTTTCCTTATCACATTTGCCATCTCCACTCAGTCTTCCTATACCTTTGTTTTCTGCCACCGCCTCCTCCCACTAAAACAACCTCCTTCGACCACCACCTATGAGGCCTCCCTTTCGCCTCGTCCATTGGAGTGGTGACATGTCCTCGACCACCACCTGTGTGTAGCCTAACCTCCGCCTCACTACCTCCATTCACACCTTCTCCGGCCACCACATCTGTGGTCTTGATCAATCTGTGCTTCTTCTATTAGAGAGACCTCCAACCGCCCTGAAATCCATAACACCCACTCCGCCCCCTCCATTGGAGCAACGACCTCCAACCACCCAGGAATTGATAGCCATCTACCTCTGCGTGCGGCCTCCACCTTTTCCGCCCCTACCTTTGTACACACTACCTTCGGCCACCACCTATGCGGTCTCTTACTCTGTCTCATAGACCGGTAGATCCTCTATGGAGAAGATCGAAGGGGAATGCCTGGGCAAGAGAAGAAACAGTTGGGTGGGACTTAGGGAGAAATTGAAAGAAGAGGGAAAAAGGTTACAGGACGTCGAACAGAGAGAAAAGAAAGCTAAAAAAACAAAAGGAAAAGAAAAATTATAGAAAAGGTAAAACAATAAGGAGGCGTTTACTATTCCAAAAAAGGTGTAATCTCCGCCCGGAGCCCCACCCGACCCGACAGGATGGTGAGCAGGTTAATCACGGTGACTCAGTCAGCAGAATGACAGTAGGCCCATACACCTGTGCGCACTAGAGGTTCAGTCTTATTTCAGGTTCTGTGACCTCCACCCGGTCGCTGCGGGGATTCGAACTTTGGTCCATTGTTCCAAATCTCCCACCACTCGACCAACTGAGCTACCCGTGCGGGTAAGGAGGCGTTTACTTTCGCTGCTAAAGTCACACTTAGGTTAGTAAGACAGGTGAAGTAAATACGCAAGTTGCTTAAAACACTGCTTACTAACCGAAAGAGGTGCTTAAAGTGTCGTTTACTAAGCATACCACTCCTCATGTATTAATTAAGCGGCACTTTAAGCTTTTTCGGTTTTCGAATTTACCCTTACCCCTTCCCCTACCCTATTGTCATCCCACTACCCTGCCCTACCCTACCTTACCCCAACCCACCCCGACCCTAATCCCACCCTGACCCCCCGACCCCACTTGACCCGACCATACCCCACCCCACCCCACCCCCACCCCTTACCCTACCCTTTACCCCTTACCACCTTGACCCGACCCCGACCCCCGCCCCCTTCCATACCCCGACCCTACCCCTTTACCCCCTACCCCCACCCTACCCCCCTCGCCCCTACCTCGACACATCCCTACCCCCACCCCTACCCCACCCCCACCCTTACTTGTACCCCTTACCTCGACCCTAACCTTTTACCCCTACCACCTGCCCCTACCTCGACCCCACCCCCGACCTCGACCCTGACCCCACCCCCACTCCTTACCTTTATCCTACCCCACCCCTACCCTTTTACCGCTTGCCACCTGCCCCTACTTCGACCCCACCCCAATCCTGACCCCTCCTCCACCACCTTACCCAACCCCTACCCTACCACCCCAGCCCCCTTACCCATTCCCCGACCCTACCCTCCACCACCTGCCCTACCCCACCCCACCCTCATCCCTTTCCCTACCCCTTTACTCCCTACCACCTTCTCTTACCTTGATCTGACCCCGACCCGACCCTACCCCCCACCCCTACCTCGACCTACCCTTTTACCCTTACCACTTGCCCCTACCTCGACCCCACCCACTCCCATTACCATACCCCGACCCCTACCCCTTTACCCCATATCACCTGCCCCTACCTCGACCCAACCCCTACGAGTAGGGTGGGGGTTGGTATGGGTGGGAATAGGGGTGGTGGAGGGTAAGGTCGTGGTAAGGGTAGGGGTAGGGAAGGGGTGGGGGTCAACGGTGTGGAATGGGGGGGGGGGGGTAGGGTGAGGGGGTGGGGGTACAGGGTGGGTTAGGGGTTAGGGGTGTAGGTAAGCGACTAAGCATACGAGGTGACCCCACATATTTTATTATATACTTGTGTTCATGAATGTTTGTGTGTGTATATATCTAGAGGGTTATTTTGAACATTTTAATGTTAAACAGTGTTTTAAATCCTTTGAAGTAAACATGAGCTTACAACACTGCTTATTTTATGCGCCGCTTATTAACGCGAGTCTTAATGAGCACCGTTTACTAACCCGTGAAGTAAACATGCCCTAAGTAGTAAAAAGAGCCGGCTGGATGCACATGTAGACGAATAAGAGCATCTTAAATGCCTTTGTGCATTACTGTTGAGATGGAAAAGTAATGAGCATGGTGTATTCCAAATGTGGACAATTTTTTTAAGGGAAAAGTAGGGTCTATTCAATTTGAACTCCAATGCGAATAAGAAAGGAAAACTAATTAAAAAGTAAAAATGCAAATGAATGGCCGAAAAACCTGGAGGCCTGCAAATGCCTTTTTGGCTTTGTGAGACAGTGAGATTCAAGGTCTCAATATGGACCTCCACCTGGACATTGTTCCAAATTATGAAGTGCCAAAGTCACCTACAATGGAACCACTTTATTTTGCATTGGAAAGTAGACTTCCATTTTAATTCTACTTTTGATGATGTGCATTTGCAATGGACTTGTGCATTGGAGATGCCCTAACCGGCTTACCGGATGAACCTGTTAAAATGCCATTTGATTATTTTTTGATACTTCATGGACTTGATTGATTCAAAAAAAGTATGTGGAATCAATTGACTTTTTGTTACAAATAGGTGGACTTATTTGACAGTTTTCCCTTTTATAATTCATTTTAGAGAAAATTTTATAATAAATCAGATAAAAAAGCTTAAATTGCTAAAAAACTTGTCCTAGTTCTCACTATCTCTGTCTCTGCAAATGAACACTATGAGAGGGAACATGCCATTATTCTCATCCATGCTAATAGCTATTAGGCACACTCCTCTATATTTTCCTTTTAAAAAGCATTCATCCAAGCTTACTAGTGGCTTGCAGCCATTTCTCCACCTTTCCAAGCCACGCCTAAAAGCAACACATAATATTTGAAATTTATTTCCGGAGTCAAATTTGTACTCAATGAACTACCAAGATTGGAGGTTAGTATTGTCTGCTCCATTCTTAAACTTGAGTATAACATTTCTTATAATTCCCATGGAGCTCTTCTAGTGCGATTAGCCTCGCATTCCATGCTTTAATTTCCAGTAAGTAATGTTTAAAGTCCACCAACTCCAAGTTATTGGAGTTATATCTTGGGGTGTGTAACTCTTGTGGTGTAACTTCATGTCCTGAGCAAGCATAGTAACAATCCATTTGCCTCTCTATTCATGATATTGTCATCATTCTCACAAGTATATTCTTCTTGGAGAGACTTTAGTTCAGTTGTGTGACCATCATTTTTTTCTATTAACATAACACCGAGCTTATATGCACAATTTTTCTGAAAGAACTCAAATTTATTCTTGGTGACATACATTCTAATGTACTTTCGGCACGCATCAATAGTCACATATTGTTTTTCTGTTGTCAAGTCTAATCGATCTTACCATTTAACAGAAGCTGAGCAAGGGAAACTTTCCTCATTGCAGTCAAAAGATTTGTGTGGCACATCACTCAACACATTACCTATATCCTCCACATTTATTGATAAACTACCTTGCACTTCATCCATGTCACTCCTTGCATTTGTGTAAGAACTAGAATGACCCAATTCATCATCTCACTCACTCATATCATTTGATCCGTTCATATCATACCCATATTTACACTTTACAATGACATATCTATATCAGCAATACAAATAAGTAATTTAGTGAGTGAACATTTGACACATTGATAGACTCGTAATGGAGGTAATTCAATGAATATATCACCAAACTCATCACTATTGATTCCTTTATCTTTGCTACTTTCATGGA